GGAAGGATCGCCAGAGCCCAGCAGGTCGAGGCTGCGGTGGCCGGGAGCGGCCACTGCACTCCAGTCTGGGTGACAGAGTGAGACTCCAGCTCATAAATAAATAAATAAATGTGCTGAAAAATGATACCTTATATTTATTCTCATGAATTCCTTTTTTTTTCTTTTGAGTTGAAGTCTTACTCTGTGGCCCAGGCTGTAATGCAGTGGCACGCTCACAGCCACCTCAGCCTTGACCTGCTGAGCTCAGGCCATCCTTCTGCCTCAACCTTCCAAGTAGCTGATACTACATGCACCACCACGCCCAGCTAATTTTTATTGATTTATTGTATATAGTTGAAGTCTCACCAAGTGTCCCAGTCTGGTCTCCTACTGCTGGACTCAGGCAATCCTCTCACCTCTGCCTCCCAAAGTGCCGGGATTACAGGCATGAACTACTGCTCCTGGTTCTCATGAGTTCTAAATAGAATGACTCCAACTGTCACCCGGGCCACCAGGCTATAGCCATAGCCAGAGTGCTGCTTTTTGTTTTGTTGTAAGCTTCAAGACTTAAAAAAACTTCTTGAGGTTGTTGGTATATGAAGAGTAAAATTTCAAGGCAGGATTATGGGAATTGTACCTTTTTTTTTTTATTTTTATTTTGAGTTGAAGTCTCAGTGTCACTCAGACTGGAGTGCAGTGGCATGCTCCCAGCCACCGCAGCCTCAACCTGGTGGGCTCTGGCGAACCTTTGGCCTCAGCCTTCCATGTAGCCGGAACTTCAGGCACACGCTACCATGCCCGGGTAATTTTTTGATTTGTTGTAGAGACAAGGTCTCACCAAGCTGTCCGGGTGGGTCTCGAACTTACGGGTTCAGGCAATCCACTTGCCTCAACTTCCCAAAGTGCTGGGTCTACAGGCTGAGCCACTGAACCCCGCCAGAATTGTACTTTTTAGAGGTTTTGATTTAACAGATTAAGTCTTTTAATGCATGCACACAAAAGTATAATTAATTGTTCTATTTACAAGCTGCTTATAGGGTTTATTAAAATATGTTGAGTCATCATGCTCTGCAGCTTTTGTGGAGTCTGGAAGTGGAATATCAGTTTAAAGCTATATGATGAATATATTCTTTGGGGTAACCCCTTCGGGTCCCCTCTCACTGTGGGAGCTTTTCTGTCCTCTCAATATATCCTGCTTTCTCACACACACACAAAAGAATATGTTCTTTGAATGCTTTCAGTGTACCTCTTGTTGACTCTATGATCTCATTTGAGACAACATTCACAGTTTAAATTTGAGCCGCAGAGTTCATTGGTACTTCTGTCATACCTTGTAATAGGTCCCACCGTGAAGTAATTTAAGCCCGAAGTTTTAATGTTTAGAGTTTAGACCTCTTTGCAACATTTTTAGTATAGCAAAGCCCTGATTCCAAGCTTTAGAAGTTAGTTTCATATCTTCTTATTTTACTAATGAAAAAGGGCTTATTTTAATTGAGTAACTTGACAAGTTGTTTTATCTGCCAATTCTTGTTTCCTGAGTTGGAGTCTCACTCTGTCATCAAGGCTGGAGTGCAAGCAAGATCACAGCTCACTGCAGCCTCAACATCTTGGGTTCAGCCAATCCTTCCAAATCAGCCTCCTTAGTAGCTGGGACTACAGGCATGTGCCACCACACTGAGCTAATTTTTTTATTTTTGTAGAGATGAAGTCTCACTGTGTTGCCCAGGTTGGTCTTGAACTCCTGGGCTCTCAAACGATCTTCCCGCCTTGACTTCCCAAAGTTCTGGGATTATAGGTGTGAATATAACTATATAGATAAGGAACTCCATCTCTTGATACTTGTTCCTTATATCATATGAATTAACTTGGCCAGAAGTTTTCTCATCCTGGATCAATCAATAATTATGAAGTATTTTCTTACTTAAAACTTTGTTCTTATTTTGAGTGGAGGGACTACCACAGATTTTATTCTATGGGAGTATTCATAGGCTGTAAATAATTAAGATTCATATTGTCTCCTTAATATTTATTGCTAGGAGATATGCAAATTTTTTCATTCTGAGACTTAACAATAATAGGTAATAGCTTTCCATTTTGTATTATAAATCTGACAGTCTGAATTTTCAGTTTATTTAAAATCTTTCCAAAATCTTTTTATGTTGCTGGTCTTGAGATCAGTAAGTTTGGACTGGATGAGGCAGCTCATGCCTATAATCCCATCACTCTGGGAGGCTGAGATGAGAGGGTTGCCTGAGCCCAAGGGTTCAAGACCAGCCTGGGCAACTTGGCAAGACCCCCATCTCTACAATAAATTAAAAAATAAGCTGGGTATGGTGGCACATGCCTGTAGTTCCAGCCATTTGGAAGGCTGAGGTGGAAGGATCACCTGAGCCTAGCAGGTCGAGGCTGCGGTGGCCATGAGCATGTCACTGTGCTCCAGTCTGGGTGACAGTGAGACTCTGATTTAAAAAAAAAAAGGTATCAGTAAGTTTATTTTCATCGTTGATACTATCATTTAAATAATTTTGTTTCATATCTTTAAGTCTAATACTTGTAATGAGATGAAGCTACCATCACTGAAGGATATATATCATAAAAAACAAAGGGAAAACAAGCAGTTACCTGAGAGGGATCTCACATCTGCTTCCAACCCAAATCATCCACCAGAGGTAAAGTTACCAACATTCTGCTGAGTGAAAATTAACATTGCTTCCTGACTCTAACTTTCATCTTCAGCTTTATTTTCCCCAGGAGAGCTAAAGCCTGCTTACTTAAAAACAAGCAAAACAAAAACTGAGTACTGAGGGTGAAACTTTACTGTGTCTGTCTTATTTCCAGGTCCTGACTCTAGATCCAACATTGCATATGAAGCCAAATCAGCAGATTTCAGGGATTCAACCACATGGCTTTTCGAATGCCCTTGATGACAGGATATCCTTTTCACCAGACTCTGTTCTAGAACCTAGTATGTCTAGTCACTCTGACATAGACTCATTTTCGCAAGCAAGTAATGTCGCTTCTCAGCTATATGGATTCCCAAAATATCCTTCAAGTACAAAAGCTTCACTGGCGGACTCTTGGAAAAATCATACATTCCAGAATGAAAGTAGAACCAGTTCCACGTTTCCTTCAGTATATACCATAACTAGTAATGACATCTTGGTCAACACTGTAGATGAAGAAAACCCTGTCATGGTCACTTCGGCCTCAGTCAGTCAGTCTCAGCTCCCAGGTACAGCCAACAGTGTCCCAGAGTGCATTTCACTGACTTCCTTGGAAGATCCTGTGATATTGTCTAAGTATGTATTTCAATGAATGACTTGTATAGTAATAGATTTTCTGTAATGTCTGACTGATGAAAGTGGCTTTTATTGAACTTCAGTAATGTATAAAATCTTAAAGAGGTACAGCATTTTTAAGATAGAGCATATAGAGCCAGGCTCGGTGTCTCAGCCTGTAATCCTGCAACTTTGGGAGGCTGAGGTGAGTGGATTGCCTGAGCCCGTGGGTTCGAGACCCGCCTGGGCAGTGAGACCTCATCTCTATAATAAATCAAAAAATCAGCCGGGCGTGGTTGCGCATGCCTGTAATTCTGGCTACTTGGAAGGCTGAGGCAGAAGGATCACTGGAGCCCAGCAGTTCGAGGCTGCGGTGGCCGGGAGAGGTCACTCCACTCCAGTCTGGGCGACAGAGTGAGACTCCAACTCAAAAAAAAAAAAGTGCATATAGGCCAGGATGGTGGCTCATCTATATAATCCCAGCGTTTTGGGAGACTGAGGTAAGAGAATTGTCTGAGTCCACGGGTTCGAGACCAGCATGGGCAACTTGGCAAGACCTCATCTCTACAGTAAATCAAAAAATTAGCCGGACGTGGTAGCGCATGCCTGTAATTCCGGCTACTTGGAAGGCTGAGACTGAAGGATCTCCTGAGCCCAGCAGATGGAGGCTGCAGTGGTTCTGAGTGTGCCACTGTACTCCAGCCTGGGCAACAGAGTGGAACTCCAACTCAAAAAAAGAGCATATAAAAAACTTTTTTTCACTTAATTAGTTGTCAACTTTTTGTGTATTAATCTATTATATATTTTGTGGGCGTGCAAAGGGAATATGCTGGGTTTTTTGCAAGTAATTGTGCTCTTTGTTTCTCTTATGGGATAGAGGTGGAGAATATGATTTTCTAATAATTTTCTTACTCTCACTGACAGGATTAGGCAGAATCTGAAGGAAAAGCATGCTCGACACATAGCGGATCTTCGAGCTTATTATGAATCAGAAATACATAGTTTGAAACAGAAGCTGGAGGCAAAAGAAATTTCTGCAGTTGAAGATTGGAAGAAAACCAATCAAATTCTTGTAGACAGGTAAAATTTATAATTTAACTGTGAAGTTAGTTTTTCTCCACCTTGGATGTATTATTTCCACAAAAGTATAATGTATTGTGATGGTAAAACACTTTGAAAACGTGTACTTTGGATTTGAAATTTTTTTTTTTTTTTTTGAGAAAGCAGGATTTATTGAGAGGACAGAAAAGCTCCCATGGTGGGAGGGGATCCAAAAGGGTTGCAGGGATTTGAAATTTTAACCAAAGAGAAGTATGAAAGTATGTTTGCCTAAGTTAGTATGTTTAAAGATTTGAACCAATATCTTAAAATATACTAATAACTGATATGAAACCATTTGTTTCATAAGGGCAAAATACCAAAACAGTTGAGCAAATTATCATTTTTTTTTTGTTTGAGTCAGTCTCACTCTGTTACCCAGGCTGTAGGGCAATGGCATAATTATGACTCACTTTAGCCTTGACCTCCTGGACTCAGGAGATCCTCTACCTCAGTCTCCTGAGTAGCTGGGACTACAGGCATATGCAACCATGCCCAGCTAATTTTTTTGATTTTTTGTAGAGACAAGATCTCAGTATGTTGCCTAGGCTGATCTCGAACTCCTGGACTGAAGCAATCCTCCTACCTCAGCTTCCCAAAATGCTGGGATTATAGGCATGAACCACTGTGCCCAGCCAAGCATATTTTGTATATGCAGAGTAATGTCATTCACAGAAGGATTAGTACTACAGAATCCCTAGTTAGAAGTCTGACAGCTGGGTGTGGTGGCTCATGCCTGTAATCCCAGCACTTTGAGGTGGAGGTGAGAGAACTGTCTGAGTCTAGAGGTTTGAGACTAGCCTGTGTAGTAACTCAGTGAGACCTCGTCTCTGCAGTGAATAAAAAAAAATTTAACCAGGCGTGGTGGGATGTGCTTGTGGTTCCAGCCACTTGGAGGGTTGAGGCAGAAGGATTGCCTGAGTCCATCAGGCTGAGGCTACAGTGGCTGTGAACATACCACTGCACTCCAGGCTGAATGACAGAGTGAGACTCAGACCCTAAATAAATAAATAAATAAGTCTATGACTTATTTTCTGTGGCAGTTCTTAACCTTTTTTTATTTTTATTTTTTAAATTTTAGAGATGAGATCTCACTAAGTTGCTTGGGCTAGTCTTGAACCTGCGGGCTCAGGTAATCCACTCATCTCAGCCTCCCAAAGTGCTGGGATTACAGGCTGAGCCACCGAGCCCAGCCCTTAACCTTTTTTTATACCCAGAAATGCATAACTTAAAATACTATAGTTTTCAGGAACTTTCAGAGGCAATTATCCCATTCAAAAGAACCCCATAAAAATGCAGAGGAGAATGACTTATTTTAGCGATAGCTTTACACCTACTATAGAATCAGTTATAAAGTTTGATGCTTTCACTAGTATTAGTAATAGAGTCCTTGTAACATGTTTTGCAGTTAAATAAGACTTAGATTGAAAATTGATGCAAATCAAGATGATAACAAGGAGTTCTTTAGGCAGAAAACACAAAGCCCCTGTCAAAAAAGCCTTGGAGGAAACGAAAATCTTCCATTCAGCTAACAATTGAACTTTCAGAATTATGGGAAAACTAGCCTTTATACTAAGTAGCTATTGGTTGCTGTGGTAGTTAACATGATTAACATGGCTGTCTTGTTCCTTAATACAGCTTTCATTTGACTTTTGGTGGTGGGAGTGCAATCATAGGGAGATATAATTTGAAGAGCCAGACCAGGGGGAAAGAATGTCAGGTTTGCGATTTCTAGGACAAAAAGAAAAGAATAGTTGGCAGGTTAGGGGAAGTTAGTTCTTTTTTTGAAGGTAAAGATGACTACAGGACTGCCTGCTGGGAAACAGAGTATGAAAGAAGCCTACCAGTGAACTTTTTTTTTTTTTTT